TGTTCTCCAAAGCGCCTGAAGGCAGGAGAAGAAGCAATGGATGGAAACTAATCAAGGACAGAAGCAACCTAGAACTAAGGAGAAATTTCCTGACAGTTAGAACAATTAACCAGTGGAACAACCTGCCTCCAGAAGCGGTGAATGCTCCAGCACTGGAAGTTTTTAAGAAGAGACTGGACAGCCATTTGTCCAAAATGGCAGGGAGTTGGACTAGATGACCTCCAAGCTCCCTTACAACTTTATTATTATTATTGCTGTTGTTATTATTATTATATTTGTGACCGTTGCAGGGTCCTGGAGTCAAATGGAGAAGCCAGGTTCACTTAACAACTGCGTTACTAGCTTAACAACTGCAGTAATTAAGTTGGCAAGGGTGGCGAGAAAGGTCATAAAATGGGGCGAAATTCATTTAACAGCAACAGAAATATGAGACTTGGTTTCTGGCCATTAAGTCGAGGATTACCTGTATCCTCTTCTCATCGTGTTTATGAACTCTATGGAGGCCATTAAATGTGATGAATACTGTACTTTTTATTCCAAGGAACCATGCTGATGTATATCAGAATGGCTTTCGTTTATTAGGACTACGTCTAAGTTAAATGAACCACCTCGATGGATTTGTCAGTTCCCATCTCCTAGAAAACCTCCCATTTAAGGGAAAGCAAACATAAACCTTAAATCTTTTTGCCTTTCACCTCTTGGGGTGAAGCTGAACTCATGTCAAGCCAAAAAAAAGGAGAGAGGGAAGAGAGAGGAAACCAACAGCATTAATATCCAACTACTTGGAAGAATTTCTCAAATCGTCCTCCAAATGGCTTCAATCATATCCGCCACATCTATGTTGCTCCTAGCAACAGCGAAGTTGTACATTATTTTGAATTGTTAAAGAGATTTATCTTTGGGGATCAGCAGCCATCTTGACAAGCACTAATGGGAGGAAAGAGGGGACAAAAGGGGGAAGAGAGGGGAAACCATAAAGATGTTTTCACAGGTTCCAAAGATTCTGTTTCTCTGGGGGGAAAAAGGAGACTGATGTCCTAAAAATTAATTCTTGGGAAAACGATTAAGCAGTTGTCTTAAGAGTTGTGGTGAAAGCCATTTAGGGGTGATTTTTAAACTGTTCCCTATAAGATTATTCTAGAGAGAAGAGCTAAAATTAAAAAAAAAAACTTCTCTTGGATCTGTTTTCATAGACCAGTGGTTCTCAACCCGTGGGTCGGGACCCCATTTGGGGTCGAACGACCATTTCACGGGGGTCGCCAAACAACGCAGTCCGCCATTTTTTCCCCCTTTTCCTTAGCTGTGCTACTCCCTTTTATTCTATTGGCTTTTGAAAGCCAATAGAATAGACTCTCTTGAATAGAGTCTAATTCTATTGGCTTTCAAAAGCCAATGGGAATTGTCCAGGCTGTCTCTGCCCTGCTGAGCCCGCCAAAAGTCCCATTCTGCAAACGGTGCTGCACCAGTTGAGTAGTCCTTGACTTATGACCGGTTGAGTAGTCCTTGACTTACGACCGGTTGGGGGTCGCAGCATTAAAAAGGTTGAGAACCACCGTCATAGACGTAGTCCTTGAGTTACAACCACAACGGAGCGCGAAATTTATGCTGCTACGTGAAAACATTTGCTAAGTGAGTTTTGCTCCATTTTATGATTTTTCTTGCCACAGTTGCTAAATGAATCTGACTTTGCTTGTCAGAGTTGCAAAAGGGAATCCCTTGACCCCGGGACACAGCAACGTCATAAATGTGAACCAGTTTCCAAGTCTTTGAAATTTTGACCACGTGACCATGGGGGTGCAGCCACGGCCATGTAATAAGTCACATTTTTCAGTGCCGTTGTAACTTTGAACAGTCGCGAAATGAACTGTTGTTAAGTCAAGGACTAGCTTGTTCCTTCATTTGTAGACTTGAAGTAAATTTGCTATCCAACACTGGCAGCATGATTCTTCAAACAAATGCAAAGTGACTTGACGCCTGGGTAGGCAAACACAATGTTTTCACTGCACTGTGATTACAGATGAGTCATTAAGTAAAATGATTAATAAAAAATCAATGTCACTAAGCTCTATCAGGGACAATCCACTTCTTCCGATATAACAGATGCACGGTTTATAGGCTAATGCATTTATACTAACTCTTAGACAGTTTCTGGCTGTCTTAAGTGTCACTGCCTGACGGAAATTTGTGTGCAATTAAGCTCAGGTGATGACCTGCTCATATATATATTTGGCACTTTGTATATCCGATGGCTTGTTCAACAAATATAGAAATGAAATTGAGCTTTATATGAATGGCATTAATGGTAATCTGCAAGCAGATGGGAGATCTCTCTGAATTTTAATACAGGCCCTTAGAACGTGTTCAGCTCGGTAATTACTTGTTTTATCAGTCTGCAAATACTTTTTATCAGTCAATAGATACATTTATTTTAAGGCAGGAGGACTGACTATTCTGCCTACTGGTCTAAACATCCCTATCTCTTGTTTTGGCAGATCTACCCTGGTGACACCCAAGCGTGAAAATTGAAGAACATGTAATAAACCACTGCTTTCCTGATTCTGGGCTTTGCTTTCAATTCATCAGACAGAGATGTATTTAGCAAAAACTGAGCAAGGGTGCAAACGCCTATAAAGATTAAGGATATAAGATGAAACATGAGTTTCTCCCAACTTAAGGGAACAAGTCTTGGTGACCTGATTCCAAAGCTATCAAAAGGTCAGTTGGCACATAATGGGAAAAATCTCTCTCTACCTAGAACAGGGGTGTTGAACTCGCAACGTCACGTGACATGTCGCGACGTATCACGACTTTTTTGCCCAGCAATGGGGTGGGCACGGTTTCACTATGATGCACCCGGCCCGCGGGCTGGCAGTTTGACACCCCTGACCTAGAACTTGAAGACCCACAGGGAGGGATTATCCTGTATTGGAAGAGCCAATTTTATCTAAGGCAATTTCTAATTCTGCACAAAACAATTTACCTGCTTAATTGGTAAAAAAAAAATCGTTAGGGATTCCATAAAACAATCAGCTATTTTTTCCATGCATCTTAAGAGCACCACCCACGCAGAATAAAGTGATCGCATAATCAAGGAAAGGCAAGATATAGATTGAACACATAACAAAATAACAGAATTGGAAGGGACCTTGGAGGTCATCTAGTCCAACCCACTGCACAAGCAGGAGATCCTATACCATTCTGAAGAAATGGCTGTCCAATCTTTTCTTAAAAACCTCCAGCGATGGAGCACCCACAACTTCTGAAGTTGTTCCACTGGTTAATTGTTCTCATTGTCAGGAAATTCCTCCTTAGTTCTAGGTTGCTTCTCTCCTTGATTAGCTTCCATCCATTGCTTCTTAACTGCCTTCTGGTGCTTTGGAATATAGGTGGACTCCTAGGCTGACACATAAATAATGCTTTATGTTTAGGGTGTAAAAATATTGCTGGTTGAAAGAAGTTCGTCTGCTACTTTGGGGTGTTTCAAAAGGCAGAAAAGTATGAAAACATTGCTCCCTCTTGTGGGAGCGATCAACAGCTTCAAGCAAAGTAATCGGAGAGTGATTTACCACTATCGTAATTCTACCCAGCAACTCTTGATTGGCTGGCCCTTTTATACTATCCAAGCAAGACACTGTTTTCTCTACTAAAAAGGGTTGCTTAGTACACAATGCCAAGGAAATAAGTGGCAAAAAGAGCCATTTGTCTTTCAAGAACGTAGCGACAGGCAAGACGCGCTTCTTCGTAATCAGCTTTGGTACAGGTGGTCAAGGTGATATGACCTGCCATCTCTTTTAAGTCTGGGATCAGAAAGACAAGATGTTGCCACAGGTCAGAGCGAGCCCTCGGGTTGAGAAGAGGTCATCTTCTTCCAAGGATATTTCATTCCAGTTCAGACAGTGTCCAAGTGAACATTATTCCCTGTAGTTTACTCATTGATTCAAACCCTCACTTCCAAATCATCAATAAAATGGCTTCAGCCAGGTAAAAACCCCTCCCCTTAAAGAAATTTCCCAGGCTTGTTCTTATACACAGGATGGCTTTTCTGAATGTGAACCTGGGACTACTTTCCCTAAGGCAGAGGTAGGCAACCGTGGCTCTTTTATGACTCGTGGACTTCAACTCCCAGAATTCATGAGCCAGCATGGCTCAGCTTGGAAACCTCTTCCTTTCCCCTCAGCATGGCTGGCTCAGGAATTCTGGGAGTTGAAGTCCACGAGCCATAAAAGAGCCAAGGTTGCCTACCCCTGCCCTAGGGGTAAAGTTCCAAAATCCTACCTTTTGCAGCTGCAAACACATCTGCCTTCAGTAGAATGTGCCCATCACGGCCGTGTTTTCCTGCACCACAGCCTCCGTTTTAGACTTCAAAGTCTGCAAGGTTCTACCTTACATCAGGGATGTATATCGGGGTTGCCCTGGACTTACAACTGTTCATTTAGTGACTGTTCAAAGTTGCAATGGCACTGAAAAAAGAGAGGACCGTTTTTCACACTTAGGACTTTTGCGTGCTTGTGGGATCAAATTTCAGATGCTTGGCAACTGCTTCACACTTACGACCGTTGCTGACTCCCAAGGTCGCGTGATCCCCTTTCGCAGCCTTTTGGCGGGCAAAATCAATGGGGATGCCAGATTCACAACAACCGGGTTACTAACTGATCAACTGCAGTGATTCACTTAACAACTGGGATAAGAAAAGTCATAAAATGGGGCAAAACTCACTTAACAAAAGTCTCACTTAGCAACAATAGCCGTTAAGTCGAGGACCAACTGTACATCCCTCTTTTTGACAGCCTCTGGAATTCCTTTAGGATAAAACAATTAAAAGCAATTTGATGTCTTACCCTTCTGATGTGGAACCACACACCAGCTATTGAAGAAAACCTAGAATAGATTTAACTTAAAGAGAAGGGGGGAGGGAGACCCAAAAACATGTTCTAGATCTCCCAAATATTAGGTAAAATTCCCAATTACAGCTTTCCAGATACGACACGGCACATGTTACGTTTGCATCAGCATATCTTGTCTTTAATGCCAACCCAGACTATTATTTTTATGTGACCATTTTTAAATACAATTCAGAGCTAAGGGGGGAGGGAGCAAATCACGATGCCCAATATTTATACTTAGCAGTTAAATTTTTGCAACATCAAGGACAAAACAGGAATGGATTCTACAAACACTACAGTAAGTAGATACAGAATGTACAATGAAAAATTGTATATACAAGTCTGTTTCAATATACATTGTGGCAGAAAATTAGGAAACAGTTCAGGTAGGTAGGTAGGTAGGTAGGTAGGTAGGTAGGTAGGTAGGTAGGTAGGTAGGTAGGTAGGTAGGTAGATAGATAGATAGATAGATAGATAGATAGATAGATAGATAGATAGATAGATAGATAGATAGATAGATAGATAGATATAGATCTCCATTTCAAGCATCCTCGCCAAAGTTAAAAATTTGTCTCTTTGCTTTGGTTATGAAGCTCACATTTGTTTTCACCCATTATTACACACTATTATCTCTCAACCAGATTATAAAAAGCACATATGAGGCCGCATGCACTGCACTCTGCCTTTACACATGCCCACACTTAAGTAAGAGGCTCGTGAGCTCAACCTGATGTAATAATGACTTTTGAATTGATTAGTCAAGTTGCCATATTACCTAAAATTTCCCACAAAGACCTCAAGAAAGTACACAAACATTTGACCCCAGAGGGAAGAAGGGTAACCACCTCAATCTCATTCCCTACAGCAGTTGAATCCTAAACCAATGTACCAAATGAACGGAGAATGCCAGGATAAACCATGATCTGATGGACCCACCAACAAAGTGTTATTAACCTTCAAAAGGATGGATGAGTTAACTATTGCTAAAGTGAACCAGAGGGATAAGGTGGGAATAAGTCAAGAAGAGATAGATGACAAACCTATTAGGGTTTTCTTTTAGAATTAAGACATTTGGCTAATGTTCTATAACAGTGTTTCTCAACCTTGACAATTTTAAGGCATGTGGACTTCAACTCCCAGAATTGTGGAATTCTGGGAGTTGAAGTCCACATGCCTTAAAATTGTCAAGGTTGAGAAAAACTGTTCTATAAGATTCTCTACAACTATGATACAGGAGCCTTGAAAAGGACTTTTTACAGTCGCATATATACAATTTGATGTAGATAATTTCTCTCTAGAAACTCTTTTATTTCAACGCCACGTAGAAAAATAAAACAAACAAAATGGAAAGGAGTAAAGTCTTTACTCTAGATCAAGAAAATATCTCAGTGGTTAGAACTACCAAAGCATTCTAGGCAATCTTTTTTTTTTTTTTTTTACACACAAGCTTTTCTCCTTTGTTTAAAGTCAAATACTTGGCTTACTGGAACATCTGTAGTGGGTGAGGAAGCAGAACACACAGACAGACACAAAATGTAAACAGGTTTTCATAGTTACATTCAAGCTAACAGAATAGCAATTTTAAAAAAAAAAATCAGGTTTTCAATGCTCCTCCTAAGCTTTGTAAGAGAAGCAGATTACTTGTTCTCTCAATTCCTTGTTATTTTATTAAATATTTATGCAGCTTGTAAACAGCTTACAATAAATAGAACACAGGCAACGGGCTACAAAATAGTTCCTTTCTATATTCCAACATTGCTTTTAAATTTGTAAAAAAAAAAGAAGTCGTTAAAAAAACCCCAAAACATGTGGTTTTACACCACAGCTTAAGTCAAAAGCGTTTTGAATTTTTAAAACTATCTTAGCCGTTGTTAACCAGGAACCAACACATGAGACACTGTAAACAATCATTATTTTAACACACATACACACAGGTGAAAAATTAGCTGGGGGGGCAGGATTAAAGCAATTGGAAACTTTTGGGCAATTACAGAAATTAAGGACTAGAATATGAAGAGGGATCATACTTCTTCAAAGTTTGTTACAACACCGAGTATTGGGCTACCACATTTTAATCTGCCTTAGTACTCACAGAGTATGATTTGGCTACAGTACTTTAGAATAATTTTCCTGTTCTTGAGCAAAATTGATGATCATAATAAATGTAACTATGTGCCAAAACTATAATCCAGGATTAAAAATTGAAACAAAGAAGAATTTGGCTTGTAGAAATAATCTAGCGAGCTTTCAAACATCTATAAATATTCGACATCTACCAAGTACTGTGTACACTACATTAATATGGATCAGATAGAATGTTGAAATACAGTTTAAATACTTCCCCTGTGTAAACTACAAGGGGGGGGGGACTGAAAAACTTCACATTCTGCTCTAGTCATCAAAGATTACTGCTTCATGCAAACCTTTTTCTTAGATTATCTGAAAATGGTAGAAAGAGTAAACTACACGCAAGCTACCGTTTTGTTCTACTCAACATTCAGATTTTAAATCAGATGAGAGCACAAAATGGTTAGTATTAAAACAGAAAAAAGTGTTTCTGTCCAAAAGTAAGCAATGCACAGCTCAGCTCTGAAGCTTGTGCATCTAAAATCAAAGTATTAGGAACAGAGAAGGAAATCTCATCAGTCCTTCTGCACAAATAATGGAAGCTTAAATTACTTTGAGGCCACATCATAGACTATTGCAATACTCTTTCAAACACCTTGGCCTAAACAGCTGCTTCATCCCATGGCACTTCTTCAACATTAGCTATCGATATTAACTAAAGAGCAATGCAGCCCTCCAGCTGAATCTGTAACATCTGGTTTTTCAATATAAAAAAATTCTCTTTTTATGTACAAGAGCGAGTTCGCTTGGGGTTCTTCAAGAAAAAAGCAGGATGAGCTAATTATGCTTTGAAGAACTTTGGGGTGCTTTGATCGTCTTTATTCTTGCCGTTTTGCTCCCCGTCCTCTAAATTTCCATATTAAGCAACAGAAAAAAAGCAAATTAATTTTAAGGCACGACACTATGGGGATTTGGAACAGAAGAAGAAATACATGCATTGGGGAAAAAGAAATATGTATTTGTCAATAAGCATTTCTTATTTCTTCTCCACTGCTTGATACCAAACTCCAGGCCACCATAAAACGCCTGCCTTACCAAGATCTACAAGTAAAGCATTATTACGACTAATCCAAAATATACTCTCTTGCTTTGTGGAAAACAGAGAGAAAAACACAGATTTAAAACCACCAACTGGATCACCAGAACAGCCCTGTCGTACGGTTCTGAAACCCCACGTTAAGTGAAATTACAGCGGCAATTTCAAGAAACCTAAGGAATAAAGTTTAGCCTACAACTGCAGTGGCAAAGAAGAAAAAGTCCTGACAAAGCATATTATTGTTTTCACAGACTATATTCCTTTCTTTTAACCGTTAAGACTTACGTAGCAGGAAGACAGAAGAAAAATACTTTCAAATTTAAATCCAAGGGTTTTCTTTCCATAATTTGAATGGAATGAAAGACAGAAATGCAGTTTTCTTTTGTTTTGTTTTTAACCAGTGGGTTGCTCTGAAAACAAAATACTCCATCCTTTTTAAAGAACATCTTCCTGATTTCCTACAATTTTGCAAAAAAGAAAAGAAAAACCAAATAACCAAAACTAGACAATCACAGGTAAGTGACATAAGGAGGAGGAGGGGAAAGAGGACAGCTAGTCCTGATTCAATCCACGTTTTGGTACAAGTGTATGTAAACAATAGCGTGAAGCTTAAGGCTTAGAAAGAACACTGATCACTACATTCCTATCTCACATCAAAACATCCACGTCTCCCTCGTGGTCCTCCTCGGTCACTTTTAGCGCCAAGACCTCTTCGTTCAGGAACAAGCCGCTCAGCCTTTCCTTCCGCGCCTGGCGCTGCTCTTTCAGCTGCCTCTTCCGCAAAGCCTTTTGCTGAAGTTTCCGCTGCTTGGAGCGTTTCTGTCACAACAGGAGGGGGGGAAAAAAGCCAAACTCAATTTTTCCACTTTAAGGCAGATAATCTTTATTGTCATTTTTTTTTTTTTTTTGCAAACACACTGGCACATGTTACAAAAATGAAATTCTGATGCACCAATCTCTCTCTCTCTGTCTGTCTATCTATCTATCTATCTACACACACACACATATACAGGTAGTCCTTGACTCACAACCACAATTGAGCCCAATTTCAGTTGTTAAGTGAGATATTTGTTAAGTGAGTTTTGACCTTACGACCTTCCTTGGCACAGCTGATAAGGAAATTAGTGCAGTTGATAATTTAGTAACTGAGCCGAGGTGGCGCAGCAGTTAGAGTGCAGTACTGCAGGCCACTTTAGCTGACTGTGTTCAGCAGGTCAGCGGTTCAAATCTCACCGGCTCAAGGTTGACTCAGCCTTCCATCCTTCCGGGGTAGGTAAAATGAGGACCCAGATTGTTGGGGGCAATGTAAATATATATATATATATACATTGCTTATTGGTGTACACCGCTTAGAGAGTGCTTGCACTTAAAGCGGTATACAAGTCTCATAAATAAATAAATAAATAAACCAGGCTGTCAAGTGAGTCGCCCTTCCCCACTGTCTCCTTTTTCACTACCGTTGTAACTTTGAACAGTCATTAATGAAGTGTTGTAAGTCGGGAACTACCTGTATACACACACACACACACACCCATACACACACACACACACACACCCATGCATATGTTTTACTTTTGAATCCCGGATACGTTCTGCAGCACTCGTCGATAAGTTATTCTCACTGTGAGCCCGACTGAGGTTGGCGCTGGAATTCGAACCCGAGTTCCCAATGCTTGAACTGCTGCTGCTGGCCGAGCTGACCATGCTTGCGCTGCTGCTGCTGCCGCTCACGCCGCTCACACCGCTGGCGCTGCCCCCGCTGTAGCTGCTCCGCTTCCAGGTCTCCCTGGCTGACCGCTGCCGAGGGCCGTGCTCCCTGATGTAATTTCGGACCTAGAGGTAGGGGAAGAAAGGGCCAGGGGGTTAGGAACTGGGACCCCCCCCCCAAAAAAAGACAGCGCAGCAATGAATTTTATGCAGAGCTTTCTTCTGAGGCAGGGGTCTTCAACCTGGGCAACCTCACTGCTTCTGGACTTCAACTCTCCGGATTCAGTCGTGACTGGCTGAGGAATTCTGGGATTTGAAGTCCACAAGTTGTGAAGTAGCCAAGCTTGGAGATCATAATAATAATAATAATAATAATAATAATAATAATAATAATAATAATAATAATAATAAGTGCCGCCTACGCAAAGAAGCTGAAGAAACAGTGGACCACCTGGTAAGCTGTTGCAAGAAGATTGCACAGACTGACTACAAGCAGCGGCATGACAAAGTAGCAACAATGGTGCATTGGAAGATCTGCAAAAAATATCATTTGCCTGTAAGCAAAAACTGGTGGGATCATAAAAGAGAGAAAGTCATAGAAAATGATAAACTTAAACTGCTCTGGGACTTCAGAATTCAAACAGACAAGCACCTGCAACATAACACCCCAGACTTAACAATTGTCGATAAGAAAGACAAAAAAGTCTGGATAGTGGACGTGGCAGTGCCTGGAGATAGCAGAATAGAAGAGAAAGAACTGGAGCAGATAACAAAATACAAAGACCTACAAATAGAAATAGAAAGACTGTGGCAAAAGCAAGCAAGGGTAGTACCAATAGTCATAGGCTCCTTGGGTGCAATCCCAAAACAACTGGAGCACCACTTGAACACCATCGGCATTGACAAATTGGCTATTAGTCAATTGCAAAAGGCGGCCTTATTAGGAACTGCTTCCATCCTGCGACGGTATCTGTAATACCATCAAACACCCACATCTGCCTATCCCAGGTCCTGGGTAAGGACTCGATAGGTAGACAAAATGCCAAATCCAGTCTGAACATCTGGCTGACTGTGTGATGATCCATAATAAAGTTGGAAGGGACCTTGGAGGTCATCTAGTCCAACCCCCTGCTCAGGCAGGAAACCCTTTCACATACCTGTTTCAGCTTTTCATCCGTGAGACAGTTCAGTTCGATAATAAATTCATTGTCTGTGGGCGAAATCTGAGCCATCGGATCAATAATTTTAATAATGTCAAGCTGCTCTCGAAGACCCATTTCCATGCTGACTTTCCGACTCAGATATTCAATATATTCCACCTGGGAACAAAACCCACAAATATTAACATGACTGATGTTGCTGAAAGCAATCACTTACAGAAGCCAAAAGAGCGCTTGGCGACTAGTACGTGTTTACGATGGTTGCAGCATCTCAAGAGTCATGAGAATGCGATTCCCTGTTGGCTTCCGACAAGCAAAGTCAATGGGAGAAGACAGATTCTTTTAATGACTGCCTGATTTGGTTAACGACGGCAGTGATTTGTTGAACAGCTGCAGCAAGAAAGAATATATCGGGTGTGACTTTATAACTGCCTTGCTTCGCAACAAAAATTCTGGTTCCAAACTGTGCTCCTAAGTCATTCCTTCAGATTTGGGTCTAATTTACTAATTAGCTAGTCTAATTAACTCTCCTGATAGCATAACTTACCATAAGAAACACTCTTCTGTCTTTATGATTTGATCTGGCTCCTTGGTACACCCCACGCTCCCAGGCCCAAGTCCAGGACCGTATTTTGGAACAGACTCACCAGTCCTCCAAACTGCCAAGGATTTACCTGCTCATCGTTGGTCATCGCACTCCAGGGAAGTTCATCGAGATTCCGGTGTTTGTTCTTCTTTTTCGGAAGCAGGCAAGGGGAGCTTGGGATGCTGGGAATTATGTCAGACAGCACCTCACTCCCACTTGCAATGTCACTGCCAGGGAGCTGACAATAAAACAGAATCGGAGTACCGCACTTAACAATGCATACGCATTAGCATTCACACTTGCTACCTAAATTAAATCTACGCTCAAGCCTAAATATAGCAGCGTGAAAGACATTCTGCTGCAGAAGCAGTGTTTATTTTTTAATAACCACGTCTAAGACCGTGTTTCTCAAGCTCAGCAACTTTAAAACTTCAACTCCCAGGATTCCCCAGTCCGCACAGCTGGAAATTGAAGTCCACACATCTTAAAGTGGCTGAGGTTGAGAAACGTGATCCCACCATTTTTTCAAAGGACTTTCACAATTCTTTGTAAGGAGCGACAAGCACATATGAAGAACAGTTACAGGAATTGGGCATGTTAAGAGAAAAAGGTCTAGGAGAGACATGATGGCAATCTTCCAATATCTATGGGGCTGCCCCAAAGAAGAGGGTATCAAACTATTTTCCAAAGGACCAGAGGGCAAGACAAGAAACAATGGATGGGAAGGAAGAAACTATGGTCTAACATTTTGAGGGCTAATAACTCCTGCAGGTTCTAAATGCATGGACAGCAGTTTACCTCCTTCACCCAAACCACTGCAAACTCTTTTTTTTTTCTTTTTACCTGCCATTCAAATTCACTATCTGACCAGTCCCAGTATGTGCTAATGGAGGAAGAGACATCACTGCAGACACTCCCCTCAGGGAACAGGTCGAAAGAGGTCAACTCCTGGTCATCCAAGAGAGAGAAACAGTCATCCTGGTCGCCCACAGAAACTGAAGAGAAGAGCTCCTCGCTACATTCGGAGCTGGCTACGCTTGTGCCACAAGACGTTAAATTCCACCTGAAAAAGAGGAAAGCAGCATAAATGTTGGTTTTGCAGTTACAAAAATAACTGCCAAGGTAGCGATTCAGAGAATTCCCAAAGGTAAAAATCAGTAAAAAAAAAAAAAAACTACAATTTTTCTGCATTGGCTTTCACCGTCCTGTGAAAGGGCAAAAGGCTTTCCCTGACTATCTCTGATGCTAAGAAGCAACAATCAAGTTATACATACAAAACATGAAGGAGTCTGCAAATGGCCCCAAAGGCGAGAGAGAAGGGGTCTCTGCAATGCCCAGAGTTGTCTGGAGTTCTTTAGATTGATGGAAATCAATCAATCAGTATCACTTGAAATCCCACCATCCTTTCAAAGGAATTTCACAAGCCTTTTTAACGAGAGACAAGGACGGTTGTTGGAATTGGGTATCTCTACTTTAATGAAGAGAAGGACAAGGGGGGACACAATAGCAGTGTTCCAATATCTCAGGGGCTGTCCCAAAGAAGAGGGAGTCAAGCTATTCTCCAAAGCACCTGAAGGCAGGACGAGAAGCAACGGATGGAAATTGATCAAGGAGAGAAGCAACTTAGAACTAAGGAGAAACTTCCTGACAGTGAGAACAATTCACCAGTGGAACCACCTGCCTCCAGAAATGGTGAATGCTCCAACACTGGAAGTTTTTAAGAAGAGACCGGACAGCCATTTGTCTGAAATGGTGTAGGGCAGTGGTTCTCAACCTGTGGGTCGGGACCCCATTTGGGGTCGAACGACCATTTCACGCGGGTCACCAAACAACGCAGTCCACCATTTTCCCCCCCTTTTCCTTAGCTGTGCTCCTCCCTTTTATTCTATTGGCTTTTGAAAGCCAATAGAATAGACTCTCTTGAATAGAGTCTACTTCTATTGGCTTTCAAAAGCCAATAGGAATTGTCCAGGCTGTCTCTGCCCTGCTGAGCCCGCCAAAAATCCCATTCTGCAAACGGTGCTGCAGCAGTTGAGTAGTCCTCGACTTACGACCGGTTGGGGGGGGTCGCGGCATTAAAAAGGTTGAGAACCACTGGGATAGGGTTTCCTGCCTCAGCAGGGGGTTGGACTAGATGACTTCCAAGATCCCTTCCAGCTCTGATTAACTGATTGATTGATTGAAATAGTATAGGGCAGGGGTCTTCAAACTTGGCCCTTTTAGGACTTGTGGACTTTAACTCCCAGAATTCCTCAGCCAGGGGTTGGACTAGAAGACCTCCAAGGTCCCTTCCAACTCGGTGATTCCGCCACCTGCCCAACCTTTTTCCCTCAAGAACACCCTGCTAAGACAACCACGCTCAGCCCACCCTCTCCCTGTCCCTCCCCATGATGGAGGAAAGATGCCCTCCTTTTGAGGGGCTCCTTCCTACCTTCAAAGCTTTTAACCTCACCTTAGAATCGCTCCGCCGTGGAGCCACCCCGACCCTCCTCCACCTCCTCCCACCCCTTCTCCGAGCTCGGCCCCCCTCGCGCCCGCCCTTCTCCTGCATGGGGGGGGCCCACCAGGCCCCCCCGAGGCTGCCTAAGAAGCCACCCGGCTCGCCTCCTCCCAACAGCCCCGCGAGGTAGGCCAACCGGAGAGCCTATTCCCCCCGCCCCGGGCCTCGCCTGTGGGCGTGCAGGCGGCGCAGCGGGTCGGTGCGGTGGCAGGAGGAGAGGTGGCAGCCGAAGTCGCTGACGTCCAGGCAGGCCGGGCCCTCGTCGCCCAGGCCGGGCGGGTGGCGGGGCGGCGGCAGCGGCGAGAGGATGGCGCCGGGCTCGTCGGGCGCCAGGAACTTCTGCGGCTCCTCGCCGGCCATAGCGAGCCGAGGGAAGGCCGAGCCGGGCCTGACCGCCCTCAGCCGGCCGCCATCAGGCGAGGCGCCGCGGCGGCGGCGGCGGCCGAGAAAGAGGCGCCTGCGGGGACGCGGCGGCCAAGGCGGGATCCGCCACAGGCCGGCTACCGGAAGTGGCCTTGGCTGACTTCCGCTGGCCGGGAGAGCGGGGAGAGCGCTCTCGCGCAAGGAGGGCCTCTTTCCGCTCTGCAGCGCCCCCTGCAGGGGAGGGTGGGAAGGCGGAGGTTCCTCTTTATTACTCTCCAACGCTGATAGGGCAGCCACGGATAGGTAAAAAGAAGAGCAGGTAAAAATAGGATAGGTAAAAATAAGAGCAGAATTCCCTGGCTTGTAGCACTGATGAGGTTACCTAGTCAGGTCACAAAAGGTCTGCAAGGAAACAAGCCAGCTCAGAGAGCATCAAGGACCCCACAATCTTCTTCGCTCATTCTCTTACACTCCACAAACCCTCCTCCCTTTTGTACCACCAATGAGGTTACCTAGTTGGGTCATAAAATGTCAACTTTAAATAAAGGACAGTTTTCTGATATAAAGAACTTCACATCCTAATTGATTGTTGCCTATATAAGAGGGTGAGAGGCAGGTACCTCGGTCTATACAGCAAATGAATGACCCATTGGGATCCCCATATCAAAACAACTTACCTTACGTCCTGCCAGAATCTGAAAATAACATTAAACACAGCACAGTACTTAAGCAAAATGGTTCAGTTGAGATCTGCCTATGTGGGACTGATTGGGGTAGATTGCAGGGGTGACACCAAAATATAATTTTATCATATTTTATCTGTATTTTAAATTATTGTATTCTATTCCAATTTCATTTTAGACTGTATTTTATTCCAATTTCTTTTTTTTAATTCCAATTTCATTTTCAATTGTATTTTATCTAATTCCATTTTAAACTGCTTTTATCAACTTTTAGTAATAATTTGTTTCTGGAACTTTGCCCTTTGATATGGCCCAAGGGCTAATCAATCAATCAATAAATAAATAGACCTGCCCTTTACAATAAAGGACATGTGGCCGCAATAAAGAGAACCCATCAGCTTCTTGGTGGATGCAAAAACAGGCAGAAAGAGCTGCCACCGCAGGAGAGGAAAGCTGCCAATCCAGATGCGAAGAACTACAACTCCCAGAAGCCCTTTCAGTCAGCCCCGGCCAATCGCCAAGCAAGCCCGGAAGCCCAAATCCGGCAAAACGTGTTGGGCAGTTACGCCTTTCCCTCGCTAGGGGGAGCCCGCGAGGAATGGAACGTTGCCCGGGAATGGGAGGGGTCACGTGAGCGATCCGCCAGGTTCGCCTTTGATCGCTTTTGCAGCGCTTTGCAAAAAAAAAAAACCTTTCTCGTCTGCCTTGGCCTTCATTTGCAGGACGCGGAGCTGCCATGACAGCGGCGGGGAAGGGGGTGTCGCCCCCTTACGTGCCCCCGGGGCATGCCGGCGAAAGCAGCGTGAACAGGGCCAGTTTTCTGGGGCCTCGCATCCCCCCCCAGGTGGAAGCCATGGCGAAGAGTCTGCAAGAGCTAGAAAAGGAGCTTTTCCGGAAACTCCTAAAAGGTAAAAAAACAGAAACAAAAACCTTCTTGCTTGGGGAAAGAACCAGCTGCAGTGATTCACTTAACAACTTAGCAATGGTCATTGGGGGCTCAATTGTGACTGTACGTTGGGGGACTTCCTGTAGACGCTCTGTCAGGAAAGCATTTTTTGCAAATGCTTCTAGGAGTTTTTGGAGAACGGAGACAGTCTTGAAATAAGGTTTTTTTTTTTTTCCAGGCTGATGCTTGGACGGGGTGGGGGGGAGGGAGGGTGTTAAACCAGTTTCTTGTGTTTCAATTTTGTGCCTTTGAGCATTTATGTCTGTGGAGACATCATCAGGTCCGTGATGCTGCTTCGGGGACAGCTTCATGGGAGTTGTTGGGGCCTTTATTTGGTTTCTCGATTTCAATAGCCACCGTCAGCGCCTTGGAAGGAAAGGAGTGCCAGGCCTCAGTAAAGATGGTTGCCGAAAACGCCAATCTGTCAGATGGGCAGCTGGCGGTCCTCCTATCTGGCATGTACGCTCTGCTCCGCGAAGCTTTGAGGCTCCCTACATCTTCTCTCAAGCAGGAAGTGAGTACCCCTGTTTAAATGTGAATTGCGCCGATGCAAAGGAGGAGAACAGATGGGTAAATGGGGAGATTTCAACCAATTTTATAATGCCTTACTTGGTAAAACACCAAGGAAATTCTGACGATGAATTAGCTCTGAGGACATTCCCTCATTTGGTGAGGGAGCATGAAAACAACCAAATTCGAAGAGCCTCAGGGACCATTGCTTCTTATCCTGCCTTCAGGTGCTTTGGAGACTAGCTTGACTCTCTCTTCTTTGTGGCAACCCCTGAGAAAAGAGGGATCAAGCTATTCTTCAAAACACCAGAAGGCAGGAGAAGAAGCGACGGATGGAAACTGATCAAGGAGAGAAGCAACCTAGAACTAAGGAGGAATTTCCTGATAGTGAGAACAATTAACCAGTGGAACAACCTGCCTCCAGAAGTTGTGGGTGCTCCAACATTGGAGGTTTTTAAGAAGAGATTGGACAGCCATTTGTCTGAAATTGTATAGAGCTTCCTGCCTGGGCAGGGGGTTGGACTAGATGACCTCCAAGGTCCCTTCCAACTCTGTTACTCTGTTCTGAACCCACAAACTCCTCTCTCTTCTAGCACTGATGATGTTACCTCATTGTGTAATAAAATGTCTGCAAGAAAACCACCAAGCTCAGAGAGCCCCAAGGACCCCACAATTCAACCCAGAGCTACAAATATTAACTTCTATCAAAATTCGGATTGTTTTTTTTTTTTAACTGTGCAATCAGTATGACTTTGCTTGCTTAAACCTAGCCAAATTCTGTTAGGGTAAAATTAGCATACCTTGATTGTCCTTGAATGATCATGGTATCATTTTTATCCCATTATGTTATTTTTTTATTTTTAATATGTTTTGTTCGCAACTCTGCTCCAGGATCGTAATAAACTACTCTTATCATCTCTGCAGTATGAAATCCTTAACATCAAGGCAGCATCGTTATAAAATAACCGAGGTTCTAATATCATACGTAGTTATTCGACAGCCTAGAAATTCTGTCGGTTTAAAAGCTCAAGGCATAAGAAACCCAGAGGAGATGGAGGCATCCCTACCCCATCATGTGTCTGGTCTAAACTAAACTAGACTAGACTCTTCCTCACATGGAGGAATATAACTTGAAATCCAGAGTTGGGGGGGCAGCAATGCATATTGTCCTGAGCAAAGTATTCCAGAATAGTAACAATGCTTGTGCAGATTAAAAAAAAATTAAGGAAAGCCCACTTCCTGGCTACAGTCCAACTCGTTCTGAGCTCTGAGAAACTGCTGATGCCAAATTTCCTGGTGGTCATCCATCTGCTATGTTCCCACAATCTGAGTTTGGTCTCCTTAAAAAGGGCAGTTTTCTTATTCCCCAATTTCTCAGGCCTTTGGCCCCCCAGTTTTTTGCAGGAGATACAAATGGGGACTGTCTAATGTCCTCTCCCTCTTTCCTTGGACAGGTATTTAAAGAAGATTTGAAATCGCTCAGGTAGGTCTCCGTTGGTCGGCAGAGATCTTAGCAGAGCTGACAGCCATTTGGTCCAGCCTGGTTTTGTTTTATAAGAGGCTTCGAGGGATCGTCTGCTGCCAGACATCCTTTAAGATATGTGGACTTCAACTCCCAGAATTCCCCAGCCAGCTATGCCATCTCTCCTTCCGGCTCTTAACTGTTTTTCCAGATTTCCTGATCTCTTTTAAACAAAAAAAAAACAAAAAAAAACCCTGCTTTTCTCTCCCACACCAAACCGCTGTGTGTGGTTTTCTCTCAGCTGAACGACCATTTCTTTTTTCTGTGACTAACCTAAGCATAAAAATTAGATGTTGCAAGGGATTTGGCCAGTCCTGATGGTGATGTTTGTAAATTGTGGGGGTCTTTCTTAAATCTTCCAGGGCAGATAGAAAAACTGATTTCAGAATCCTGCCTTTCCTCCCTCCCCCCTTTCCTTCCTTTCTCCTTCCTCCTTTCTCCTCCTTCCTTTCCCTCCTTCTCCTCCATCCCTTCTTTCTTTCCTTTGTTTTCCTCCTGCCTTCCTTTCTTCCCTTCCTTCCCTTCTTTCTCCTCCCTCCCTCCCTCCATTCCTTCCTTTCTTCATTCTTTCCTTCCTTTCTTCTCTCTCCTTTCCTTCCTCCCTTCTCCATCCTTTTTTCTTTCCTTCCTTTTCCTCCTTCCTTCCCCTCCCTCTCTTCCTTCCCCTCTCTTCTTCCCTCTTTTCATCTTTCAAAGATAAACGTCTGGTAGTTTGAGAATTTACTGGGGCCCATTTGCCTTTCTCTTAATTGATTCTCCCCTCTTTTTCAGGATACCGGAGGAGTTCATAGCTGATTTTGCAACGGTGGTCTTCGGGAACAGGTTAGTCACTTCTCCCATCAGGTTCTCTTTAGGCTTGCTTTGTTTCCTGCAATAAAATCTCTCGAGATAGCAGTAGGGAAAAACTTGCAATGAGCCAACTAAAGTAGCAGTGCATGAACATGATAAGCGTGTGCTCCCTCAACAAAACAATGATGCCCCTTCCTTTTTGCCTGGAGAAAAAGCCAGTTTTTCCCATTTGTTGCCTTTTAAGAGTCCTTTGTCTGCCTCCTAGCCGACATTGCCCCTTCTTCTTTTTTACAGACGCCCCCTTCTTGAAGCTGCTCTCCAGAAACAGGGGAACCGGCTGCCCGGAATCGACGACTTCAAGTGGAGGGTTGACATCACCATTTCAACCAGGTAGAGAACTGCAGGTTGGGAATTCTAGCACGTCTCCTGGTGGGGAGGCGGTTTGGGTTTGCTTTTCCGTCTAGATCAGGCAACTTTTAAGACTTGTGGGCTTCCAACTCCCAGAATTCCCTCTGTTCTAGATGATGGGTGCTTGATGGAAGATCAGGAACGCCAGGTAGAACGTTGTATGATTTACGGCGGATCATCCAGGAAACATTTTTATTTATTTTCTAAATGAGATGCTTGATATCCCTGGCCTACCCTAATCCAGGTGTTGAGTTGCCTATACAGGGTTGTCCCCGTTTGTGATTCAGATGGAGGACGTAAG